CAAAACCCAACAGCACAACAGACCCAACAAAATCCAACAGACACAACAGACCCAACAAAATCCAACAAAACCAACAGCACAACAGACCCAACAAAACCCAACAGCACAACAGACCCAACAAGCACAACAGACCCAACAAGCCCATGAAAATCCAACGAAACTCAACAGCACAACAGACCCAACAAAACCCAACAGACACAACAGACCCAACAGCACAACAGACCCAACAGACCCAACAAGCCCATGAAAATCCAACAAAACCCAACAGCACAACAGACCTATTCACTCCTAGCCTGCGAACAGGTGTTTATTGATTATTCAGGTCACAGATAAAGGGCTGAGATTCAGGTGGCCTAGTTGGTCAGTTTTTAAGATTACATAATTGGCCAGTTGCTATGGAAATCGCAAGATTTATATAAAATACCGATATTACTTTGAATTCATAATTTATTGAAAGGATTTATTAAAAAGGAAAGAAAAGTACTAGATGTTTGAGAAATAATTACTCAAGATATCAGTAAGTTGTCGTTTTATTTAATGCATAAAGAACCTTAAAAACACATATAAATTTTAACGTCTTTATAAATACAACTGTACCATGAAGGCATGAACTATAAAATGTAGGAAATGAAATCCTTTGCCTAATTGTCTGTATAATTCGGCTGTCGAATGTCAATAAATATTCTCTTGTTGTCAAATATATATCAATTATTTTTTATATTCAAATTACTGTAAATATCGAATTAGAAATATACCAACTGATAGATAACTGGAGCGTATATTGCATAGCATATTATATTTATACCACAGCGTTAAATTATAACATTGATACAGCATGAAATATTTAAATCTGGTGAAAACTCATAATAAATATGAGCCCAGATTACAGGCATCCACAACTACATTATACAGACAATATATAATGCAGTTGTGGATGCCTGTAATCCGGGCTGTTAATGAATATAACTATAGTAATCAGTCTGCAGCATGAGAGAAAGGCTGTCTTAGGGAAGCCTCGCATATTGATTGGATTTTGTCCACAAGAAAGGTATATGGCTGGAGGGATTTGCAGTAATTTGACTGAGTCAGGCCCTTCATTCGACAGATCCTGATCTCAGGTTTGATTTGCAGCTGCGACATTTCTGTGTAAAACATCATGGAAAAATTTGATAGTGTTGTTGAAAGCCTTAACACATTGGGATTTTAGTCGAACAACTACCATCAAATTGTGTGTACCTGCGATAAGACTTCATAAAGTAATTTGAATTCAACTGCCTTAAAGGAGCTGTGTCGTCTACTGCGCATACGTTTTGCGCATATAGCAATTTTGAAAACTACAGGCTGTAGTTTTCAAAGTTAGCATATCCAAGATGGCGGCTACTGGGGAGCTAGCGCGTGGTGGGAGACGCGAGAATTCAGGACGAAAAAGGAAATACGATGGTTCGGTATCATCACAAAAGGGCTGGAACAGTCAACACAGGCGAATATACCTTTCGTTGAAAATATTCGAGGCATGGAGAGATGCGAAAACAGAGGCTGGATATGAAGCATCTAGCGATTGCGACTTCGCTTGCCATTTGTTGTCATTGGAATATCGCAAAAGGTAAGGATATCATATTTCGTATTTTCGTTTGCAAATACATATTGTATAACAAACAGCTGAACTTATATTTTATTCCAATATCTAAGGGAGCAACAACCTAGACAACATCACAAGGGAACTGAGACTGCAACGACAAATATATTAGTGAATCAGACGAGCAGGAACTCACCGAAGGTAAACTCAAACGAAGCTTTAAATTACTATATAATAAATGTAAATATTACTATTTAATGCCATGCAATCCTAATGATGTTTATTTTACGTTTTTTAATATTTTATAATTCATTGATATAAATTATTATTATTTTTTAGGTTCAATGATATCACTCCCCTAAAGGACATACCTATTTATCCCATGACCATTCCATCTGTGTCTCCGATATTGGGAAGTCAAGAGGACTCTGAAAGATTTGTGGACACTGATGTATCCCTTAATCAAAGGTATTTTAATAGCCATATTTGACAATTCATGAATTCAAAGGGTTGCATTACTAGTGACACAATCATGATAGTAACATTGCTTTCTCATGTCTTGAGGAAAAAGTGGGGGTGGGGTGGGGGTGGAGGGATGAAATAAAAATAAATGCCAGAAAAGCACTAGTTGATAAAGTAAGAGCAATAATTAAGGTAAGGTACCTGGTATAGGTTTTATTCCACAACCCACAGAAATCAGTTTCTCACATGTACTGTCTGTATAATACTTATAGTAAAACTTATTTTTATTAAATACAGCTCATCTATTGACCTGTGTAAAGGCAATACATCTATGTTTACCGATGACGAGGGAGAAATTACTGATGACAACAGTTCAGAGGAAGATATCAGGTATGTTTTTAGTTCAATGCCCTCAGAAGTTACATTTATTATGGTATAATTAAGGTAACATATGATGTTTGTTTGGGATGTTACTCTGATTGTATATCCCCACTGGGCAAGCCTGAAAAATATGCCTGGCCACAGTGGAAATCAAACCTACAACCTGTGGAATACTAGCCCAATGCTCTGCCAACTGATCTATGTGGTCAGGTTGGTTCGGGTTTGTCATATTTTGAGATTCAATTCCAAGTAACATCACAAACTTTATATGCACCTGAGTACATAACACCAACAGAAAAAATTAATGTAACATATATTTTTACAGCTTACATGACCTTACAAAGTCAATTCTGGAAGAATATTGAATGCTGAACAAGAGGACATGACAAGACAAAGTGACTCTGAGTAAGTTGTTATATATGTTTAATTTAATCAATTTAATCTCCATTCAAGGATGCTATGTAGTAATAGAGTATCTGTCATAATTAGTGGTTTTAACTCTAAAGATATGTTTCTGTATAAATTACTGCACCACAACAATAATTTTTGCAGTGTTAAATCTAAAATATATTTTATTATTAAATAGTGTCATGAATGAAATTAGTGATGATGAAAGTGTTGGGCTAGAGGATGACATTTTTGAAATGGTGACTGAAGAAGATGCAGAACACGAGACAGATGACATGAACCTGCAACAACAGTCACATTCCACCACTGAGTGTACTGACACCTTTGGACCACATTGCAGATTCACCAGAGGGGATGAGGTGTATTCGATGAAGAAGGAATACAAAATGGTAAAAGAAAAAAATTTGTATGCTCTCTTGATTTACTGCTTCAGATCTTTCAGTCGCGATGTCAGACACCTGGATGCACAGCTGAAAGTCAAATCCAGTATCACTTCATTGGTGTTACTGTGGTTATCAACAGTGTTTGTTCAGAGGGGCATAAATATAGATTCTGTTCTTCACCTCAAGTGAATGATATTTATGCCAACAATCTTCAAGCAGCAACCTCACTTATGTTCTCTGGCAATCAATTTTCTAAAATTGAGTGGATGGCAAAGTTTTTTAATCTGGAGTTCCTGTCAAGTTCCACCTACTACAGATTTCAAAGACTATACCTTATTCCAGAGATAAATGAGTGGTGGTCTG